AAAAGAAAGATGATATAGCAGATAATATGGTCTGCCATATCATATGTCACATGTGTTCGTATTTATAAGTTGATAAATAAGTTGGTGGCCATAGCGTTATTGCATTTATTATTATTATTATTTGGGGTAATAGTGTGAATGGAGGACATTTTTTTCCAAATTCAAGGGAAGTGTGCTAGAATAAAATCATTTTTTGTAAAAAGAAGTCTAACTAATTAGGACAAAGTATTTCAATTATAATTAATTAAACCTTCCTCTCTTTAGTTGGTAATTCACTTTTTCGACCACAGCTTTTTTCTTTTTAAAAAAATTTATTTAATTGATTTTCATTTTTGCCAGTTAAACTACTGGGGCCCATTTCCGTAGATGCGCTCCCATTCTTTGCTTGCTTCATTGCATCCCGCGTTCTTGATGGGCCCCGTTTTATTTAAAGATCTATTCATAGCGGTCCCCAGTTGTATCGATACATCTAATCTAAATTTAAAACTATCATATGGCCTTGAATCTTTTTTGTATTATTTTTAATCTATGACCATTTGCAGGTTTTAAAAAGGCAAAAATACATTTCTAGTCCTCTAATTTCTCAGTTTTACCACTTGGGTCCTTATAGTTTCAATTGCACTTTACTTATATTTTATTGACACAATGGTTTGGACATAAGAGTTCTAAAAACTTGTAAAGTGGATCTTTAATCTAGTAGATAACAAGCTTTGGATTCTCATTTATCATATTTTGCACCATGATTACAAGTTTAAAGTTCTTCATAATTCATAATCTTGTAATAACCTAATTCATAATATTCAAGAACTTGTAAAGTGGATCTTTAATTTCATAGATTACAAGCTTTATCTTTTTTTTTTTATTATTATGAGTTTGCAATCTTAGTTAGGATGTCTATGCTAGAGTTTCTTCGATCATGAGTGATCGTTAGTGGATGCACATCAGATTGTCTTAATTTTGATGTTAGATCGTTTTTTATTGTAATCGCCCCTTATGACAAGTTTGTATTGGTCATTTGTGACTAATAACTTTTTTAGCTAAATTATGTATGCAATTCCAGAATTTCTCAACAAAAAAAATAAAATTAATAATAGTCATGATCGATAGTGTAGTACAAAAGGTACTCCTGTGGAAAAAATATTTGACTTCTTCGGACACGCACATGCACCTTTGAAAGAGAAGGTCACACATAAATTATATAAGAAATTATAAATAGTGCTTGCAATTATAAATTTACAAATTTATAAATTTCCTAGCTAATTGATAACGTTGAATTTTTGTTTTGATCACATGCAGGACAACTTTTGTCCAAATGCTACGGGGGGCCGGACACAGACATTTGTAAGTGGCCATGTTTCACAGAGTGTACGTAGTATATGCCCAGTTGGCTTCTAAACAAAGAGCTCATGTGTTTTGTAACAAACAAAAAACAAAACAAAACAAAATAAAAAACCAAAAACCTAAAAAAAAAAAAACAGCTTCTTTGTTTTATTTTTAGCCAGTCCACTGTTCAAAATATAAAAATATGAACAATTTTATATTAACGTCCGCAGTTTTCTTTGATCTATAAGCATATTCCGGGCTGATCACCTGCAAAAAATTTATATTGAAGGTCACCACGTGCCTAGTGATAATTTTTGGCTGTTTCTATGTTTTATCCTCTGTCTTCACATCACATCACATGTCATCACGTACCTAGTGACAATCCTTATGTGCTTTGTTATTTGGTGCTCTATTGATAATAGAGGGCTCTGGTTATTTAATTAGGGTCATTTTTTCATTATTATTATGAATTTGGATTCCTTTATCATTGGAAAAAGAAATACTACTCAACCTTAAGGTTAACTATGAATCAGAGTGAGAATGAATCGAATCAACATGACTTCTCATTAAATTATATACTAACTATCATGAATCGAAATGAAGAAATATTTAATTAGTGGAATGCATGCCCTCGAAGAATGTATATTTTATTTTATTTTTTCAAAAACCAACTACAACTTTTCAAATGGGAAAAACTATTTCACTAACAATAAAAATATTATGTAAAAATATTTTATG